TTTTTTGATAACCGTGGATGTCCGGACCAGCTTGCGCGCACCTCGACTAATTCCACGGGGCCCTGAAGTTTACGGCCGAGTACTCACCTCAGTGGCCCTGAGGGGAAGAGTCAGTTGCTGATGACTAATATGGGGAAATAATATTCAAAAAACTGATTTTACAGTTCTATCATCTATGTATCAAATAGATAAATATTAATATGTGAATACTGAGCAATCCTAATATCTGTATCTTATTTAAAGCCTGCACAGTATGGAGAGGTTAGTATGCTGAAGTGTTGCATAAATAAGATGTCTGAAGTCACCATCTGTTTTAAGAAACATGCATCTCTATAATTGTTGCTTGTCTGATATCAACTCACTGGGCCGAACCACTAGTCTAAGTGATTGAAGTGTCAAAATTCTATATCTGGAATTCTAATTAAAAGGACTGAGTGAAATTTTATTTATGAGAAATGGAGCACTAAAATGTTTTAGTGTATATTAATCTCCAAAATAAAGGCTATACATGATGAAGCAATGAAGGAGAAAAGAGTCACCTGTGATAAAAAGTGGCAGCAATAAAGAGGATAGACATTTCCGACATTGAAATACCCTTTCCCTACATAATCAGAAAGAAGCATCCTCAAAGAAGGAAGGTATACATGCATTGATGTTGGCAAAGGAATATATTGTGCTTGTCACACCAAAATTTTAAACAATAAAATAGTAAACATAACTGTGATACCCCTCTATCTATAATATTTTCAATATCATTTCCATCAGCACACCCTTATTCGTAATACCCAACATTATCCAAAAAATTTAGAAAATTAAGGCATTTACATATATTTCTAGATTTAGGATGTTAAAAAGGTTTAGATTCTCAAATTTATATTGTCAAGAGGTAAGTCCCAAATGACAAAAGTATATCCTGTACAATTTAAGAAGGTAGGAAACACCGATCTAAACTAATTGGTATACAAAACGTTAAAAGGAAATGCATATGGGAATCATCTACTTTTAAGGTAATGTTGTCAAAAAAACTCTTCCATAATGATATGATCAATTATAGGTTGTAGCCTTTCGGTTTCCTTCTAGTGATGAATCCAACATACCACAGTCATGATCCAAGATACAATCAACCCATCATCCAAAGGCTTGCACAAACCTTTAAGTAGGTACATCATCTTAACACGGCCTACAATGCAAAATATAACTGTGAACACATGTCCACTAAGTGTGGTATTGCATGCATGATACATCAGGAACTGCCTTAGAAAGTCTAGATCGTTTAAATGACGATGTAGCCTTGCTTTTTAAACTCATGGGAATGTTTTTCCTTGCTGAATTTTATAATTTTGCCCCACTGGATGGTAGCTTATCATGAAGTGACTTCTTATGAGTCGTTCATAATTAATACCAAGGACTGAACATATTTTCGAAGGAACCTTTTCTTAGTTCCTCTGATTGGCTCTGTCGTGAAGGGACCTGAATATCAAAACTCACCTGCTAAAAGTGAGTCATCTAATTTATTTTCAAATTTATCTATTAAAGAATCTTCTAGGAGCGCATCCTGCGAGTTATGTATGAATATTTTCCATGAGATTGTTGGTGAGATCAAGCATAGTTCCCCTTCAAAATTTCCATCTCTTTTTGCAGAATGGTCTACTTCGATTACGATCTCCTAGATTTAACTCGTGTTTCCTCTTTGCCAGTTTATCATCAAAGTCATAAACTAGTAGTTTTGATTTTCTTCTGTGAGTGGTTGCTGTTTTTGTGTTTTCCTGGTGCATGTATGAAGTGGAGAGACTACACAAATTTCTAGCGTAGAAAAAGATGTTATGGATCAATATTATTGTATACTGGAATCCTTAGCGTGGAAGATATGTGGCCATGACAGAGGATTACGTAGAGCAAAATGACTGGGTGCTAGAGTCGTTGAAATGTTTCTTTCTTCCAGAAACTATATGTTTTGGTTTCTCTAGCTCCTAGAATTGCATATTTTTTTATATGTGGGATGACTCAATGGAATGAAGAATATTTTATAAAAGATTAGATTTCCAGAATCTATTCTCATTTTGTGCAAGGCTACTATTTATTTAATCTCTGAAGTGATAAAATTTTCTCCTCGGCTCAATGCATATAATTAGCTCTGTAAATTCTTGAACACATTCGCCAATACGCTCAAGGTGCTTTTAGATGTTTGCAGAATGGCCAATAGTTTGATGTCATTTTTAGATGATCTTGCCTTCATCACATATATTTAATTTCTTCAAACAGCTGGAACATGAGAATTTTGTCATTAGAAGTTTGATGGAGATACAATTGTGGCATAAAAGGATCATTGTGGCATGAGCTCTCTAGATCAGGTTCATAAAAACCGTCGGTAGATATTCGTGCAAATACATTGAACGATGTGATGATTATCTAAGACCTCTAAGACTTGGTTTAAGCAATCCAAAATAATCAAGCATGTGTAAAGCAAGGAGTGGTCTGTCTATCCTTCACTTTTTATCTGCTAAAACTTAATTTTGCCATTGATTTTTATACATTTGAATGTATCAGAATTACATGTGATGATGATGAAGAACGAGCAAGCCGCAGAGTGTACAGGGGCTGCACACGCTCTCCAACATGCAAAGGATGCACTACCTGTGTGTGTTTTGGATGTGAAATTTGCCGTTTCACTGACTGCAGCTGCCAAACCTGCTCAGACTTTACGAAGAATGCTAAGGAGGCTTAAGCCAGCCTGCCAGTTAATGTTCTTCTATACTAATTTATTGCGATCTCTTCTTGCCATCGTTAATTGATCAAATCCAAGCTCATTTTAATAGAACTTTTACATTTTTTTTCCTTATTGAAATTGAATTTTCAGTTCACCTATCAGTTGTTAATTCTTTCATTTTTGATTGTTGTCTTGTTAATCTGGTAAAGTGGCATCTTTTGTGGATGTGAAAGATTCTTTACTTTCAAAAGAGATCTTGGTAAAAAAATTCAAGAGAGTGCAGATGTAAAATGCCAGTTCAAGCATGTATGGCTATGCTATTCACAACAAAATAAGTAAGAATAAATCATTTATGCTGGTAAAAGTTGAGGATAAGTCATTTATTTTTATCGAAATTTTATCAATTTTCAACTTTAACAACACGTTTTATAGGATTGTAAACAATTTTTATCAACTTTGTAACTATATATTTCATTAACTTTTATCAAAACTGTTAAATTTTTTATCAAAAGCTTGGTCAAAGCTTAAATTGGAAATTATTTTTAAGTAAATTTTATTTCTAAACATTTTTGGTTGGGTAAATGTTATTATTATTTTGATAGTAGGCATACTCTAGAGTTGATTTCAGCAACTACCACGTAACTTTTGTTAAAATCTTCAAAATGTCCTTACAGTAAGTATTCAATCAAGTTTCTAAGGAATATACTAATAGTTACTCAATTTGAAATATCAATAAAGCTATTTGTACAAAATTGAGTTACAAAAGTTGGGTTACAAAGTGTGTTGGCAAAATTCAAGCTGTTGATTTCAAATGATTTTAAAATTTATTTTTAAAATGATTGGTGTAGATGTTATTTTATCAACCAACTTTGTACATGTAGCATAACTCTGATATTAACCTAAAATCTTCAACGTCATTGTTAAAATTCCAATAAAATATAAACGACTTTAAGTAATACACCACGTGAAACAAAAATGTACCACATTAAACTGTTTACCAACAAAAATGCAGACTTTCACTGATTACTTAGGGTCCGTTTGATAGGTAAATGTGAAAAAGAATTCAGATTTCATATTAGTTGGAAAATAAAAACTTACCAAACTCATATGAATTCGTTTTCCATTAAAACCAAAAAAAAAAAAAATGCAGTTTAAAGTAGTTGTACATTGGAATTCGGTTTCTATTTCCACGTTGCAATCAAACGACCAGAGTAGAATTTGTTTTTCTCGGATGAGACATTTTTCATGAAAAATATGACAATCAAAGAGGGTCTTATTATAATCGAACAAAATGGAGAATTCGTGTTTGACAATGACAACATCAACTGCAACAAAAACCTCTATAACATATAAGTTAATGCCTTTTTTGTTCACATTGGAATTTAACAGTATCATGTAGAGTTTTAGGTTAACGTTTCCAAACGAACAACCATTAATATAGCCATTATAAACTTAAATGACTAGTACTATAAAAGAAAATTACTTCAACCATTAATATTAACAAGGGTTATGCTACATGTACATAATTTGGGTGGACATCCCAAATGTGTTTTAAGAAAGGGTTATGCTACATGTACATAATTTTTTACCTAATCTTTTACACCCCACTCATATTTGGGAGTGGGAACCACATTTTTTTAAAAACATGGGGCCCACCACATTTGTGAGGGGGGAGGGAGGGGGGGGGGGACACCATTCGGTCACCCCCTTCGGTACATCCGGATAAACCCTATTAACAAACTTCGGCGATTGTTGCATGAAAAAGTCACTGAACTGTTTCGAAAAAAATAAAGAAATAAGTAAATAATATATTTTATTTAATATTTTGCAATGACTTGAATTTGCAAAATATTAAATAATATAAATTCTAGCCTAAAATTGGCATGTAACGCCGTGATTGAATACAAGATCTATTGCGGTTATATTTATTAATTAAATAATTTTCATCAATTTAGGAGATGACATATGGGTGAAATTTGAAACTAAATTAAAGTTTATCCCTCCATTTGAGATCTGTTGAAAGTTCGGTGACTGCAAGTGAAATTTACCCATTCCATAAAGAACCTCAAAATTGAAGACGACGACATTTTACGCTCTCAGTATTCATGAAGCTCTTCTTGAAACGGCATTACACCTCTCTCACTAACACTCGACGCCCACCATCCATACCATCGCAAATTATTCAGTTGTGTAGATGTGGCTTAGTTTTTGATGCCATTGGACTCCTCAATTCCATGAACACCACCTCCCAACAATCCCAAAATATTATCACCTCAAAGCCAATCCTATACGCTACCATTATTCAAGCATGCACCAAAGCGTATTCATTTACCCTCGGCCTCCAGCTTCACTGCTATATGCTCAAATCTGGCCTAGAAACTGACCGTTTTGTGGGTAATAGCCTTCTTTCCCTTTACTTCAAACTGTGCCCCGACTTTTCCAACACTAGAAAATTTTTTGATGGGTTGTATTATAAGGATGTAGTGTCTTGGACCTCGATTATCTCGGGATACATTCGCGTGGGAAAACCCAGAGATTCGATTGGGCTGTATTTGGATATGCTTGACTTTGGCATTGAGCCGAATGCGTTCACTTTATCTGCCGTGATCAGGGCGTCTGCGGAGCTAAGGGAGTTGCACATGGGGAGGTGTTTACATGCTGTGGTAATTAAATTTGGTTTTGGATTTAACAATGTGATTATCAGCGCCTTGATCGATATGTATGGGAGGAATCACGAGCCAGGTGCTTCGCTTAAGGTGTTCGATGAAATGCTCGAACCAGATTTTATTTGTTGGACTTCAGTGATTTCTGCACTCACGAGGAGTGATTTATATGCTGAGGCTTTGCAATTGTTCTATTCTATGCATAAGCATAATGGGTTTTCGCCAGATGGGTATACATTTGGTAGTGTTTTGACTGCTTCGGGAAATTTAGGTAGGTTAAAGCAAGGTAAAGAACTTCATTCTAAGGTCATTACGAGTGGGTTCTGTAAGGACAATATTTTCGTCGAGAGTAGTTTAGTGGATATGTACGCTAAATGCGGGTTATTGGATGAGTCCCGGAGTGTGTTTGATCAAATGGAGAAGAAGAATTCAGTTTCATGGTGTGCGTTGCTTGGGGGATATTGTCAAAAGGGCGCATTTGAAACCGTTGTTCAGCTTTTCAGAAAGATGGAGGTTGATCTTTATAGTTTTGGAACGGTTCTACGTGCCTGTGCTGGTTTGTCAACTGTGAAGCTCGGAAAGGAGGTACATTGCCAGTATCTTAAGAGAGGTGGGTGGAAAGATGTTGTAGTTGAATCAGCTTTAGTTGATTTGTATGCGAAATGTGGCTTTGTGGACTTTGCATATAGGGTTTTTAAGAAGATGCCTATTAGAAATTCAATTACTTGGAACACGATGATTTCGGGATTTGCTCAAAATGGTAGGGGTGAAGAAGCGGTGAGGATATTCAATGAAATGATTCAAGAAGGTATCGAGCCCAATTATATAAGCTTCATAGGCGTGCTTTTTGCTTGCAGCCATAATGGTTTGGTTGATCAAGGTCGCAAGTACTTCGTCTCAATGAGTATGGATTATGGGATTAAAGCTGGAATTGAGCATCATAGTTGCACGGTTGATCTCCTTGGCCGGGCTGGGGAGATAGAAGAAGCTGAAGATTTGATTAAAAATTCGCAATTCAGTAATGACTCATCTCTTTGGGCTGCTCTGCTTGGTGCTTGTACAACAAGTACAAATCCTACTGTTGCAGAACGCATTGCTAAGAAAATGATAGAATTGAGACCTGATTATCATTTGAGCTACGTACTTCTAGCTAATGTTTATAGAGCAGTTGGACGGTGGAATGATGCTCAAAAAATTTGGAATAAAATGCAGAAGAAAAGGGTCACAAAAACACCTGGAAGGAGTTGGATTGATAATAATAGCAGCTCAAGTTTCTCATTTTTGGTGAATTCTAACATTCCTGGAGAACTGTACAATGCAGAGAAAACCCATTCTTTTAATTAAATTATTTTTTTGTTTATAGCTGAGTTACGTTTTGATTTATGATGTGAGTGTTCCTGGGGATGGAAAGCTGGTGATCTCGATGAAGTGGTGTTAGTTCGACTGATTATTTTAGAGAATTTTTCAATAGTACCCAGCGCTCAAAAGAACAGTTGGAAGCAGGTTCAATGGGGGTGACATCAAGGCTCACCCCTGAGGAGGAGGTGGATTTGGATAGGGACTTCGGGCCAGAGGAAGTGGAGGGAGCAATTAAAGAAATGGGACCTTTTAAAGCCCTGAGGCCGGACGGGTTTCATGCGGTTTTTTATTATCTACACTGAGATTTGTTGGATTCTGCAGTCACAAAAGTTTGTTTGGAAGTTTTTGAATCATGGCAGGTCACTGCAGTCAATAAATGGCACTAATAGTTCTCATTCCCCAAAAAGCTACCCCAGAAGCAGTTTCCGACTTGAGACTGATCAATCTTTGTACTGTTGTTTACAAATTGATTTTATAGCAAATTGGATCAAGCGAGGTCTCCCCTCAATCATCTCTGAGCACTAGAGTGTCTTTGTACAAGGGAGACTAATTACTGATAACGCCGTAGTTACTTTTGAAGGTCTCCATTTTATGAGCCGGAATGCAATGGCTGTAAGTTATTTTTTGCCCTAAAATTAGATATGAGCAAGGCTTATAACCGAGTTGAGTGATTTCTTAATCAAAATCATAGACAAGATTGGATTCTCATAGAAATGGTAGACTTTTCTACTGTTGTACATCCTCATCGAGCTTCTCCTTTTATCTTAATGGCAATGTAATGGTAGTATACATGGGCGAATAATTCCCACCTGAGTTCTCCGATACAGATGCCCGCTCTCACCTTATTTCTTCCTACTTTGTGTTTGAGGCCTTTTCTGGGTTAATCAAGAGAGCAGAGGCTAATAATCAAATTATTGGGATTCAATGTGCCAGGGCATACCCTCGGGTTTGCAAATGATTACATTATTTTTCACTTTCTCCGAGCTACAGATTCTGTCAAGCTCCGATAGAGGTTCTTCACGCTTATGAGTTGGAATCGGGGCAGAAGATAAAATTTGAAAAATCAGCCTTTACATTTCGCCCAAAAGTTGGATTAGTATTCGAAGCCGGTTAGAGCTCCAGGCCAGTATACGACAGGACACTTATCTAGGGTCCCTGCATCAGTGGGACGGAACAGGCTTTTAGGGATATCAAAGATCAGAGTTTGGAAAAGAGTTAAAGGGTGGCATGAGTTTGTTTTGGACATATGATCTCGAGGTGCTGGTTAATGCAGTTGTCGGGCTATCCTTATGTACATAATGAGTCTGTTTCGACTGCCTCTTTCGTTATGACAGGACAGTCAAGCAATAATCCGACAGTTCTCGTAGGGTGAAGATGCTACTTCTTGCAAGATAAACTGGACACATTGGAATATCTACAGGCCCGCCTAAGTAGTCGGGTGGCTTGGATTCTCTCGACCTTGAACTCTTTAACAAAGCCTTGGTGGCCAAGCAGGCTTGGCGGTCGTTACAACACTGATTCTTTGGCGGGAAGGGTTTTTTAAAGGGAAGTATTACCTTGGGGATGACTTTATGAATTGTTCAGCTAAGGGGTGACTCAACTGTGTAGAGTATTCTTTGGGGTCGGGAGCTAATTCAGTAGGGTCTACGATATCGATGGGATGGCCGATCGATTCATATATTCTCGGACCTTCGTTGCCAAGACCTACATCCTTCTCACCACAATGGGAAGGTCACCATAGTCAGTGATCTCAGCAATATTTTGTTGGGAAATATGCTATATAACACAACTAGTGTGATAACACCAGTTTAGGTGGCTGCAAGTGATAAGGCGTTTAAATGACTCATTTTCCTACTTTTAAGATAACACTTTCATGCCACCTAAGCTAGGGTTTAGCACTAGGGTTGTTATATAGCATTATTCATTAAAATAGTAACGTAAGCCATTTTGTGTGATTTTCATCCCCGTGTCACAAACTGTTTTTGATTCTATTCAATATATGATAAATTGTCCTAATGCAACCTACAACTTATGTCCAATGCTACTAAATTAACCATCCTCATCTTGTGAGACAAAAACTACATTAAAACCCAGACAAATTTAATGCCTTGAGATCGTGAAAATTTATCAAAATTAATCGAGATATTATTTAATTGATAAATTAATATTTTCTTGATTTATCAAGGTATTCTTAGAGAGGTTGATCGAGGAGCTAATTGAGCGTCGTGAGAAATGATCAAGATGGTGAAGTTACAGATTATAGTTTCATCATGGAGCTAGTTCCACAAAAAGAAGCTCTTAGAACGGTTATTTAATCGAAGTTATTAATTTAACGGGTATATTAAATTATCGAAATTCTATTGTATTATTTTTTCAATTCTTATTTGGAATATCAAGAATTTTCTTTCACAAATTTGTCATTGAAGAACATCTATAGCTGTAACTGCAGAAATCAATAGGCATGGAAAGTATCAAAAAAAAAAAAAAAATCACTATTCAACATTTTTTCTTGCTCTCTTTCTCCAGAAAATTGTTCTTATGAAAATCACAAATATTCCCACCAAAAAAAATTTATTATTTATAGAGTTTATAAGCACGCACACGATTGCCAGGCTAATCGAAATTAATAAAGTTGGATCTCACATCTCCATCTATTTCTTGCAAATTGAAATGGGTGTCTGTAAATGAAATCAATACTTAGGTAGTGAGGTACTGGGTATTACATCTACTTTCACACTAGATTCACTACTAAACAACAACAAATAACAAATAATTTTGTAATGAACATTAGGACGACGATTGATTGACAAGATGATCGAGAATCTTGTGAATTGACTACTGTAAAATCTGTTCTTGAAAGCAGTCTTCACATGAGAACTTCGAGTCATGTTAGATTCGAGGCATCAATTCCGCAGCTTGCGTTTTTGGTTCAGCGTAATCTCAAGCTGATGCAGGAGTTTGATAGTTGATTCTTAGTTATTAATGATCTGTTTTTATATATGGGTGGAGTCAAAATTACTCTCCTGATCTATTCGGAGATTCCCTTCGAATCGTTTGGATGAGGTCCTGCACGACTTCAGACATCAACGGCCTGAATTCTGGCTCCGTCTGCACAACAAATTCTCATAGTGTGAGCAAAATGTCAGTCGTAAAAGAGAGAAAAGAAAGGTAACCGTAAATTCAACTCACCTGAACACATCGGGATATAATGTCAGCAAAGTGTGATACTGATTTAACAGGATATTTTCCATCGAGAGCAGGATCAACCATCCTCGATAAGGAGTCAATGTCATGAAGCTGAGGGATTGCCCATCTGACCAAAAATTGTTCCCCTCGAATCCGTGTCCTAATCACATTTAGAAGAAAATGAAGCAGCGACATATCACCAGAATTCAGAATGATCGTTCAACAATTTTAGTACCTGTCATATGACATTCTGCCAGTTAAGAGTTCCAACATCACCACACCAAAACTGTAAACATCACTCTTCGAAGTATATATTCCCGACTCAAATTCGGGAGCACCATAACCATATGTTGTGAAAAGTCCAGACAGCTGAGAAAAGAAGAGGAACAGTCATTTTAAGTGTACTTTCAGGTAATGCAATCACATAATTACATTTAACAGGAACAACCTAAAGAAAATCAAAAGTAGGAAGGAAAAAACTGAGTTTGTTTCAATTAGCTAATAACCATTTTCTTTTTGACCCTTTTGAATTGGGATATTATGATTTATGCAGAATGCAATGTCAGAAATTAATGCATTCTGTTCAAGACGTCAAATTATATTGGATTTGCCTAGAATTACTATGCCAATCCTGTGATAAAATGGGGCATTCAACAGCGTCTCTATAGGTTGGATAGACAATGCTTACCTTCTAAAGTTCAAACTATATGCACTGACATTTTCACCCGTTAGTAAGATTGTTTATGCATATACCCTTCTATTCATAACAACACAACATGCCCTCAAGTAATGTCCATAAAGTATTCCTGGCTGTTCCGTGTATAGCATTTATTTGGGATTTCAAACTTTTTAAAATTTACATTTGCACCCACCGGATGGAGGTTCCTCTTGTAAACAAATAAACCTTTTGAACTGGAATATGTCATTGCTCATTTACATAGCTTGTCAGGTTTGACTCATTTTTATTTGATTCCCTTTTTGTCATTGACATGATTCTTCAATCATTTTGATAATCTTCATGCTTCTGGAAAAAGATGAAAAATGGGAAGCATAATTTTGAAAAATAAATCGAAACAATCACTTCTATATCAAAATCAAAATTTACAGATATGTTTGACTAGGATCTAAGTTCCACATTCCAGACCCAAGGAGCATGTGTGGTTAATCTTAAAAGTTGCTCTAAAGTAACTTTTTTTTGACAAACACGTTTAAGCTATTAGAAGTTACTTTTTCAGGGAGATTTTAGTTAAAAAATTGCTCTTTTAAAAAAATCTTTACTTTTCAAAAAATTGCTTCTACTTTTATTTCAAGCTTAGCCAAACATGCTCCTTCTAGTTTCACTGACAATTCCCTGCATACCTCAAGGGTCTTAAGGTGGGGGGGGGGGGGGGGGG